CGAATTTATCTTTATACCGTTAACTAATTTGTAACGCGATCTTATTTGTAACTTCGGCGTTATAACGAATGTGTCAAATTAATGATAAATGTATTGTTGCATCGCATGTTACGATTATTAGAAATAAGCAAAATTACGCGGCAACAATTACGCGAGGACAATGCAGAAGATAAATAAATTACGGATGACGTTGCCGAAAGAGATATTATCAAGTGTGATACCCTCGGATGCTCATCCATTTAGCGGTCTGATTTCGACTGTCGGACGGCAGAGATTTACTGCGGTTTAATCCACCTGTCGGCGAATTAAATCTATCGGTGCTAGATAAGATTGTGCACCTCGTAGATCTTTTCATTTCTGTTGCCGCCCGGGAGAAAGAGGCGTGAAGATCTGCAAAGGGAAATATGCGAGTTCCTTACTCTCGGAAGGCATTGTCCAGTACTGTAACACTATGAATTTTAATGAAACGCGAACCCGCGAGTATCTTGTTCGCGAGAAAGGGGGATCTTTATCGGATTAGAAAAACGCGGTGTGCTATATGAAAATAATCGCTGTCGAGAAACAGCAAGAGAATTATGTTGCCTTTTTGCAAATCCCACCGAGAAGGGAAGTCAACGGACTCCTTCAAAAACGGGGTCAACAACGAAGAAATCTTTCCGCGAATAGCGAGTACAAATGGAAAAGTGGGATCGAGGAGGCGGAGGCCACCCGGGTGGGGCGACCTATTTCAATCAATAATCCCCTTCTTCCAACACGAAGTGGGTTTTATACAACCGCCGCTGAGCGGCGAAAGTCAACTTCGTAATCCCTGAAAGGAGAGGCCGCCGCCGCCGCCGCCGCCGCCGCGGCCGCCGGCCGAGCCGGTTTCGGTAAATCTTCTTTCCTCCGGTGCATTCGAACAGAAATCCGCCCCGGCTCGAGAAGTGAGAAAGGTCCACTCGATAAAGCTCGCCGGGGACCGCAAGCCCCGCGAGAGAAAGCAGAGAGAGGCTCGCGCCCCCGGCAGCGCCATTGTGTCACTCGACAAATCGGGCGACCTGGGGTGATTTAATTCGAGCACCTCGCACTCGACTCCGTTACCGGATACAAGGACTGGCTGTGTATACAAGACCGACTTCTCCGATCGACCTTCGTTATAGCACCGCTTCGTTATACCTTCAATTTTCCGCAATCTACTTTCGTGATGCCAGCCCGACGTGCAGTTAAAACTTACATACCAGAAAATTTTCTGATAATTGTAGAATATAAGTTAGGTCTTTTTTAATTCAGTTTAAAAAGTATTAAATTTTAGTAGTAATTACGTGTAGTAATTAGGGGCATGTAACATTCAATGAAATGTATTTTAATTGAATAAAAAATTTTTTCTCTCTGTCTCGCTCACAGTTCAATGAATAAATATGTGTTTTTTAAATTAAAATATTATTAAATTTCCAAAGCGGTTATAATATCAATGATGTTAATTTTCAATGTTTTTATGTTTTATAATATGAATTTAATGCTTCTAATAATGAAATCATTTTTAAAACAATGTTGATTTTAAGCAATATCTTTAAATAATTTTAAAAAATATATAAAAATTAAAATATTCAAGCATTTAATTCGTGAAGTTTTATATTTTTTTACTAAAAATGTATTAAGTAATTAATAAACAGATTAATATTGGATAGCAGTTTTTATGATCATAAAAGCATTTTTTTTCTTCGGCTATCGATCGTTCAATTCAAATATTATCCATCGATCAAATTTATTTATGTCATCTAATAATTCGTGAGCAATCACGATCATTTGACCGATGGCTCCGAAAGAAAATCGTCACTTCCTCCAACTCTTTCATTCCCCAGAATTTTTCTTTTTTACTGAGAGAAAAATTTTGATATTTCATTTTGAATTTTTTCTACAAAAATACAAAGACATTTTTTTCCAGACATTATTTAAATAGATTCAATCTTGTGGCTTGAAATGGCTCTAAAACGGCTACAAGATTTGTTTCTGAATAATTAAATATCCGCGAATTAAAATAACGGTATTATTAAATAAATTCAGATTTACATTCAACAGTTTCTAAATGAAAAATAAAGATGTATATTCGCGAGACATCGGAGAGCTTTAAAGGGTTAAAAAGGATTGAAGTTTTCTTTCATTCGCAACCTCGAAACGTCGCGAAATATTGCACAATGCGTCCCCGTAATTGCGTTACGTTAATTAATCCGTTGGTTTCTTTATTTCCTCTCCTATCTGACCCCGCGTCCTCCGGCCCTCCCTCCTCGTGAAGCGAGCTCTTTTAATGCTGCAGAAAGTCTCGATGAAACGGAAATGAGTTATCTTACTTCCGTTTGCGGAAGATTTCACGGTGAATTTGCGAATCCCCGCGGCGCTCCCTTCGTTTCCTTCGCTCAGACATTCGGCGCGATTCAGCACTCCTGTTCTCAATCTCCTGAGAAAGAGGAAGGTGGCTGGATAGCGCCGGGAAAAGAATTCACTATTTTCGTCGAATCTTCCGACGATTCGTGTTACTTGCGTGCGATTCCATCCAACGACGCGCAAAGTCGGGCTTATCCGACTCTCGGGCCCCCTTCTGTGTATATTCAATGGGTTACTCAAATAAGATTGTTATGCAAACTTTCACTTTATTCAAGAGTCTCTCTTTCGTTTTGCGCCAAATGAATTCGCTCGTCAAGCGAGGATCTGTTGATTGAAACGCTGTAGCGACATAGCGCTTCGCGCAAACATTCAGTTAAACAAGGTTCGTTAATAAAAGTTAAACAAGGTTCCGCTAATATTTTTCAAAGTTGTAACAGATTCCCGTTGCTTTTGCACTGATAATTCGGAGGTAGAATCGCGGTGCAGAGCGCGCATGATGATTTATCATTTTCACTTAATTGCAAAAGCTGATATACGTATCCGCGTAAAAAGCGTAATGTGTACGTGTAACGTTCACGTGTACGTATAAAATAGAATTTTCTTTATTATTTCCCGATTAAAGTTATTTTTATTTATTTTAACTCTCGTTTCGCGTTTTGCAGATACTCGTTAAATTAATCGGAGGGGAATTATTTTTTCCCTTTTTTTTTCATCCTCTAGCTCTGAAAGCAATTTTTTTTTTTCCACGCGTAACCATATTTCTGCTTACTTATACGGCGGCGCCGGCAAGTGCCGGCTTTAACAACAGCGGATTTCAATTTTGCAAGCACTCAGTATAACGTCGGACGAATTGCCGGCGTTACTGAAAATAACAGGGATTATTCGCGACGTACACCAGCCGTCATCTCCCATGACGATAACGATAATGCCCGGGGTCCCAGCGCGCACTGCAAAGTATAATCTAATTATCTGCCCGGCCCCGACGCGCTTTGCGCTGCGTCGCGTAATGCGCAATTGCATCCAACGTATGGTGCACGTCGGTTGCATCTTCATTACAGCCGCGCATGCATTTATAGCCGGGCAACTCGTTTCCCCATATCGTCGATTACGCCATTTGAGTGTGTCATATAAACGGAATGATAATGTAACAATTTCGAAATAGTACCGATCATTTATTTCTATGTACGCGTATACACACACACACACACACACACACACACACACACACACACACACACACACACACACACACACACACACACACACACACACA